CCAATTTCTTTATTAAATAAATTTGGTTCAAGCCATTATCCTCAGTAATCCTCACTTCTCCCAAAGCTCTCCTTAAGTATGGTTACTGTAAACAAAAACCTAAATAACAATTAATACATGGGACCAATTCTCCAGTACCGGTATGTGTCACACATCTTCGAGGTGGAAATCATATGCATTCCTTCACTGATGTAGGTAAATGGTGTAATCTTCAGTTATAGTGTGAAATTGACTAGTGTTGTTTCTAAGGAAGTTGGAGGTGACCCTCTCTGGCATATCTGGCTTTTTAGTGACAATGGTTACTACTGCTAATTCAAAAACAAACAATAAGTTTTATTTGGGTCCATTTTCAGTTCCATTTTCTAAAAAAATTGGGGCCATTTTCTCCAAATTGCTGGGGCCATTTTCTTCTGCACCTATCTGTGTACGCACTGTTCCTCTCTGAGACTTCACTCTATAGTAAGACATAGTTGTCATCATGTATATCAAGTACAAAGTATATTTATGATTGGCATTGATCGTTTTCCCTATTTTTGAAAGGTTTAGACATCTGACGACATTGCTGAAATTTTAAGGTATGAGTGAATCAAATTTGTGTTCGTACCAGTAGGAGATGTCTTCATCCATAGAATTCGGCATCTAAATAAAGTTCCTTGATACAAGGTGTGATCTCCATTGCCTGGTCTGTAAGTTTGAGCTGCGCCATGTGCCCTTGTGTGGCGTCACCTGTTTTCAAACACCTGATTGTCTTTGTACTTTTGCAGAGTTTCCATGAATGAACAGCTGTGGTACACAGTTCTCAACACAGTTCTCAACACAGTTCCTGCAGATCAGCATTAAAACTCCAGAATTAATTGAATGTTTGAAACCTATTCCCAAAGTATGAATTTTTTGTCAAATTGTAGTGGTCACACTATTTTACTCTTTTCATCATGACATACAATGCTGAATGAACTGTTCTGACAGGTGTACAGTACGAACACGAACCCATTGACAGGCCAGGTGTGTGCAGCTTTAATTACACCTCTCATTATGATGAGACAAAATCAATATCAATATAGCTGATATATACTCTTAAAAAACAAGTAGGGGGTCATGAATATATATGTTAATACCAAGTATTAGCACAAAGATAAGTGTTGACGACAAACATGCTATGCAAGAACATTTATATCTGTAAAACTGAACACCAAAACACACCCAATGGTTTGCACATACCTCACGCAGTAGCGGTACATACGTGAGAAGGGTGTCATTCCTGATTTTCACACGTTCAAGGAAGGTCAGTTAATCTCTGTGGACCATTATTTCTGTCATCTTATTTATTTTCCTTATCATACAGTTGTGATTTACTTGATTTCTATCATTGTTTGAAACTGGCGATGAATACAGGATTGATAACCCAAACCAGGCAGTATCTTGGTTGTTGTGATGTCAAATGCTTCCACTGTTTTCATTGTTGTATAGACTCCAGGTTTCATCCATAGCCTGAAATCATTATAAGAACCTTTGTGGATGATCTTCAGACAGAGCCAGATTATCTTGAGACATGTTGTGCCTGGTTCGTATTTGACCAGATGTCAGAAGCTTTGGAACCTATCCTATCTGAAACTGGTACAAAGTTTCTATAATGATGGAATGTACTCTCACCTGGGAATTACCTACAGAACTGGCAATATGACACTCAGCTATTCCCTGGTCAGTCATCATATCGTGGATTCTCTGTATCATTTCTGGTGTTGCGGATGTCACAGGCCTTCCAGACGGGGGTCGTCTTACAAGGTCTGCCTGCCACACTTAAACGCTGCTGCCGACCTCTTGACAGTGGCAAGGGAAGGGGCATTCTTCCCTTTTGTCTTCATGAATGATTTATGGTGATAAGCCCTTATTCTGCAAGTACTTGTTCATGGCATGTTCATCATGTTTGTCCATTTCCCAAAGGTCACATACCTGTGCTTATTTTATTGACTTGTTACAACAAAACAATTTGTTCAGTTGTCAATGACATCTCTGACATCATGTAATGTCCACAACAAAAGATTTCACTATCACACAATTCCTTTTATGTAAGGCCCAGAATTTGTCAATGAACCCTCGTATGGTTTTTCAACCTGTTTTCCGACCACCTCCGTGGTCTAGTGGTAGAGCGTCTGCCCGGAGAGTGAAAGGTCTGGGGTTTGATCTATGGTTGCATCATACCAAAAGATGTTAAAAGATGGTACTTGTTGTTACCCTGTCTGGCACTCGGCATTTAGGGGGTAAAACAAGAACTGGGTGGCTTGGAGTCAGTATACTGTGTCTGGATGGGGTCTTCATGTTAAACTGAAGCATGGTATCTCAGTGGGCTATCACTATTAAATCGGCATCAGTTCAGAGTAGCACACGCACGCACGCACGCACGCACGCGCACTTACACACGTGTGCATGCACGTCACTATAGAAGTATAATAATCTTGGATGCAACTTTGAACCTCATTTCACCTCACCTCACTACAACCAGTTCTCTGCTGGTCTGTTCTATGCTGTGTTGATCAGATATACTGGGATATACAGTAAACTTCATTTATAACGCACACACTTATAAGGTACTGATGGATATAACAAACTTATTTTTTGGTCCCAGCTATTTGCTGTATATATGCTTATAACAACCAGTTGTTATAACAAACTAAAATTAGTGGTCCCTTTGAGTTCAATATAACCATAGTTTTCTATATGCAAATGAGATGACAGGTGCACCGCTTGGGGTCAGTTTTTATCTTGGGACTAGCGCACAGTTTAACCCTTGGGATCTGGTGGTCAACAACATCAATGGGGATGGGGCTATGCCTTGTGGGTTTCAGCATCAGCCTCCACCCTTTTTTTCCAGAATCAGGGTGACAATTGGATTTACAACCTGGTTCCTTTGGTCTTATGGTTTAGGTGGATGTTGACCGAGACTGCTGTACCATGGACGTTATCTACACCGGTCGTACTGTCTTTCCAGTACCTGGTGTGCCATTGGTAGTTCTATCATTTTGGAGGAATCGAACATAGAGGAATGGAGGCCTACTTCGGCATGGGACACAGCTCTATGGCGTATGATTCTCAGTCTAACCATTCTTCTCTGGCTTGCTACCAACCAGGGCTACTGTACAATTACACTGTGTTGTGTCAGTATTCCAATATCATGTAATGTTCTTGTTGGTGAGAAGCACCTTTTTACAGGAAATAAACTACCCATGAAAAAATATGTAGAAACTCAATTTATGATGTTTTTGAAAGACTGAAGGTGTCAGTAATTAGAATCATTACTACATTCCCTACACCATTCAAAAGAATGCTGAAATCACTTATGCTTTGTATGAAATTAAAAGGTTTTAAGTGGACCGCATCTCGCCGAACAACGTCAAAAGATGATACTTGTTGTTACCCTGCCTGGTGCTTGGCATTGAGGGGCTAAAGCAAGGACTGGTCATCTTGGAGTCAGTATACTGTGTCTGAGTGGGGTATTCCTGTTGAACTGTGGAAGGCATGGTATCCCAGTGGGGTAGCACTAGAGCTGGGACGCTACAGTAACAGCAACTGTGTGATCTGATACGTATCACGATACCTTGCTCACAATCCAATACGTATCACGATACTTCCATGTGCTCTTATCTGTGGTGCGTAAGCCATCTTACACTGACAATTTAAAGTTGGCAGTGTCAAGTATGGCACAATTGATGAAAATATTTACGTCTTCACTACTAATTATACCAAGTATATAGCTATACTAAGGTTCCGTCTGTCCGTCAGAACTTTGTCCGTGCGATTTCTCTTAAACTATTCAGTGGATTCATCTCAAACTTAGTACATATAATCTGTGTCATATGGAGGGATGCAGTCAAAAGAAAAAATTGTTTTTATTATTATTCCATTTTTTTATGAATTTTTCAAACCCTAACCCTATCCATTTTCTAATGATACAGAGTGACTTCCATCAGGCATCTCACACAGGGCAAGTTGAGCGGTTATATTAGTACTGTGAAAATAGCTTGCATGACTAAAGCAGAGTTGACACTGAAAAGGTTGAAGTTGGAAGTATTAGTAAGCTCTGCTTACTTTTTCACTTTTTCCATGTTTTCAGTTATTTCACTGAAACTTGGTATTTCCAGGTGGGCTACAGGGCCACGCATGGCACTATTTTTAAGCTATTTAATTTGAAACTAGTGACACACTAGGCGGGTCGGGGGTATTAGTGAGCCATGCTCACTTTTGCCCTTGTTACTGTTTGATGCAACAGTTATTAAAGCCAACGTTTGAGGTAAGAATCAATATTATTTATGTGCGACTGTGTTCGATACTTGTATTGAGAAGTAAAAACACGCAATCCACTGATACATTGGTGTGTCGCCCACTACAGGCTAGCACTATAAAATTGACATTAATCCGGACTAGTACAAGTAGCCACATACACACACATACGCATGCATACGATAGTGCAATAATCTTGGAACCTCATCTTTCTTACAGTCAATTTATTGTAATGCATCTCTTTGGATTTATTTAACATATGTTAGTATTGCTTGAAAGCCAAAGAAAATTGTTTCTGATATGAATAATGAAGCCTTGGTTTCATGTCAGAATTGCACACAGAAGAACATCAGCTTGATCAGTCATGTTTTCAGCATCATATCTCACAGCCTCTCTTTTCAAACCACCCTGACAATCCATGGAGGTATCACAAGTTTCTCAGGGACCTCACACATCAGTGAAAGATTGTTGTATCATATCAAAGTGTTGGGATGTATGCTGTGAAGTCAGTTTTGCTAGCCTTAGGCAATCTTTGGAAAGAAAAACCCCCAATGTCAACCCAGCTGAGATCAATTGTGCATTGTCAAAAACGTGATTTGACCTTTCCTTTTCTCTGTTTTGGAAATAATGATGCCTGTTTTTTTAGATCAGGGATTTTAACAAGATTGATACTTTTTCCTCAGCATGTCATAACATAATGTTATACAATGTATTTTGTGTCACAGGTTGGAAGTTCCCACTATGGATTTGCGGAGAGTGAAGAATGAGGATAAACTAGACTTGTGTAGAAAGTACTACCATGGTGAGTTCTGACACTTGATAGTGAGAGGGGTAGACTAGAATTGTGTACAAAGTACAGCCTACCTTTAGAATACAGTACCACAAACCTTTCGAACATGTCACAATACCCTATTACGTAATTTATAGTATTTTGTTGCCTGTCAGTGTCACACTGGCGACACAATGCCCTGTGACGTCAGGGGTCATCAAGTGTGCATAAGCTCCTCCCAGTGATCTATGTCATTGAAGAAGCCCAGCAATGTTGAGTTTTTATATTTGTTTACTAAATATAGCCTGCCGCGGTGCATTTTACAGCAAGCGCTAGTTTATGAAAGCACTTTTATATTCTTTATTTCATTTTTTTTGTAATTCAATTGGCTAAAATGATTATAAATGGGAACTAATATACATATATTATTTTTTTCTGATTCATTAATTTTCATTATCATGCACAGGAATACAGTTTATTAGGTATGTTATATTGGCACTGAACACATCCAAATGTCTCCAGTCTCCCATTTAAGATCAATCGCCCCTTTACGATCCATTAGGGTTAGGTACCCATTTAGTGGCTATTAGATTACCCGAACTCTATTCTTAGCCCTTGGATTCCCTTTACGGTTTATCAACCCGAGTTTTATGATCATTAGGATTAGGTATCCATTTAGTGGCTAGTATAGATTCTATAGCGACTCCTAATATTCGTCACACAAAAAGCCGAGAAAGCAGGGTGAAATGGTTTAGTGTCGAATATTTTGTCTACTGGAAACTGTCCTGGAACTTTCACCCGTTACATTTTTTCAGTACTGATTCAAATGTGAGCTCACCCTTGTGTCGTCACGAGCCATGCTTCTGCCTTCCTCATTCCTAACAATTATCCACATGATCCTTACAGTGTTCGCTACCAAACTTATCTGTCACAGAAATCACCCTACAAATGATTAAATACCATGCATTACCACTCGGTTTCTTGAAGATTTTGGACGAGTGTGCCAAATAGCATCGGGATCACTTTTAAGTGTCCATTGACTACAGTCACAAGACACCATGCCTACCCGTAACCTTCGTAAGTGTCTGTCACCTATTCGACCCTTTTTCATTCAGTACCGAAAAGGCATAGCTGTCCAGCTAACAATCCAAACATTCGCCTCTGACAGATTCTCACAAAAACTAGTTGCTTGTCTTTGAGACACGGTACCTACGGCAGAGATCGTTCTCACAAGAAGTTGTGGCACTGTATTCTTAAGGTGCTCCCAAATATTACATGGTGAGTTCTGACACTTGATGTGGGACTAGGAGTGTGGAGCAAGGGTAGACTATACTTGTGTACAAAGGACTACCATGGTGAGTTCTGACACTTGATGTGGGACTAGGAGTGTGGAGCAAGGGTAGACTATACTTGTGTACAAAGGACTACCATGGTGAGTTCTGACACTTGATGTGGAACTAGGAGTGTGGAGCAAGGGTAGACTATACTTGTGTACAAAGGACTACCATGGTGAGTTCTGACACTTGATGTTGGACTAGGAGTGTGGAGCAAGGGTAGACTATACTTGTGTACAAAGGACTACCATGGTGAGTTCTGACACTTGATGTGGAACTAGGAGTGTGGAGCAAGGGTAGACTATACTTGTGTACAAAGGACTACCATGGTGAGTTCTGACACTTGATGTGGGACTAGGAGTAGGAGTGTGGAGCAAGGGTAGACTATACTTGTGTACAAAGGACTACCATGGTGAGTTCTGACACTTGATGTGGAACTAGGAGTGTGGAGCAAGGGTAGACTATACTTGTGTACAAAGGACTACCATGGTGAGTTCTGACACTTGATGTGGGACTAGGAGTGTGGAGCAAGGGTAGACTATACTTGTGTACAAAGGACTACCATGGTGAGTTCTGACACTTGATGTGGGACTAGGAGTGTGGAGCAAGGGTAGACTATACTTGTGTACAAAGGACTACCATGGTGAGTTCTGACACTTGATGTGGGACTAGGAGTAGGAGTGTGGAGCAAGGGTAGACTATACTTGTGTACAAAGGACTACCATGGTGAGTTCTGACACTTGATGTGGGACTAGGAGTAGGAGTGTGGAGCAAGGGTAGACTATACTTGTGTACAAAGGACTACCATGGTGAGTTCTGACACTTTATGTGGAACTAGGAGTAGGAGTGTGGAGCAAGGGTAGACTATACTTGTGTACAAAGGACTACCATGGTGAGTTCTGACACTTGATGTTGGACTAGGAGTGTGGAGCAAGGGTAGACTATACTTGTGTACAAAGGACTACCATGGTGAGTTCTGACACTTGATGTGGGACTAGGAGTGTGGAGCAAGGGTAGACTATACTTGTGTACAAAGGACTACCATGGTGAGTTCTGACACTTGATGTGGGACTAGGAGTAGGAGTGTGGAGCAAGGGTAGACTATACTTGTGTACAAAGGACTACCATGGTGAGTTCTGACACTTGATGTGGAACTAGGAGTGTGGAGCAAGGGTAGACTATACTTGTGTACAAAGGACTACCATGGTGAGTTCTGACACTTGATGTGGGACTAGGAGTGTGGAGCAAGGGTAGACTATACTTGTGTACAAAGGACTACCATAGTGAGTTCTGACACTTGATGTGGGACTACGAGTGTGGAGCAAGGATAGACTCTGATCAAGGTCTTACCTCGTAAAGTGCATCAAATTTCATGAGCACCTTGATTAATAACATTAAAAGATTTGGAGATATGTCGATGCCCAGTTGATGGTACACGGACATAGCCTTGCAGGTCCTGCAGTCAGACAACATCTGCACTGCAGTCGCCGTATTGTTTACGAACCGGATGTTGATTTCATTAAGCTAGTTTGTTGGGCCTATGCAAGACTAATAGTCGAACCAAAATATTACTTCAAAATCGTAGCCTAGTTTGGCAAGGGTAGAAACTGGAATACATGGAAAATACATGGAACCTTGACTTACTTTTTGTGTGCAGATTCATCTGTCACTAAGCAATATGTCAATGATTTCAAACCGTATTGAACTATCACGTTCATAATCCTTGGTAAGTTGGAAAGTACTGTATTTGTATATATTTCTGCTTATTTTACTAAAATATACTGCAGTAGAATATACAAGTAGAAAATGTCAACATGAACATTGAAATGCAGGTACATGTGGTCTTTCACCCAGATCATGGTGTGCAATGTGTTGTTTTCTTCAGGAGGTTTTGCATTGCTGCCATTTCTCTGGTTCATCAACTTCTTTTGGTTCTTCAACGAAGCCTTCAGGAAGCCCCCATATGAGGAACAGAAGCAAATCAGAACATGTAGGTGTAATTTGACAGTGTCATTTAGTAAGATGTCATTCAGATTGTTCATAAATTCAGTGCCTGTTTCTTACACCCATAAACACCCACCTTGAACACTAATAATGAACACACTTATAATGAACTGACGGATAGCAAACTCATGTTGTGGTCCAGTGTGTACCCTGTACAGTGACAATGTTTATGTTTAGGACAAACTGTCAATCCCTGAGCTGCTCACGTATCACCAATCAGCCGATCATTGATGTGTCTGTTCAAAGCAGTCCTAAACAATTGAAGGCAACTGGAATACACCCTCAATTGACAATAGTAAAACAGTGATTAGTCTGTGGCCTTTGAAATGGATATATTCTGTCTTTGCTGAGAAGCTGGGACATTATGACTTTAGTGCCAATACCGGCTGGCTGGAGAGATTTAACAAGAGCTGTGGCATTTATTCTAAACAAATCATGGCAAGAGTGTATCAGTTGACCACGAGCTTAGGGGTATAATGTTACGAGATTAGATTATTTTTCTTACAGTGTTTACAGGCATCAAATCAACAAGTATGACAGTTACAAATATAACTGAATGATTGTGTTGTGTCATATGTTCCAGATGTGATCCGGTCCCTGATAGGGACGGTAATATGGACGGCCGCCCTCATCACGTGGGTAGTCATCTTTCAGTTGAACCGGGCATCATGGGGAGCAACGGCTGATTACATGTCCTTCATCATCCCGAAAGGGGAGCCGTAGTAGGCCCTGTTGCAGGATACGCTGTGGTGGTGGATACACTGAAGGTTGCTGCAGGTACAGTGGAGAAGACTTGCTCCTGATGTGATGAGTGGGACAGTCAATTCCTGTAGATGTTCCATGTCAGACATCATGAAGCGATTGACGCAACTGTATATAGATCTATCATCTAAGGAATGAATGTGAGGAATGATACACTGAGAGTTATATATATGTATATATATGTGACCATATCGACAAGAGCAATGTTTGGCCTGTGAACTTTGTATCCTGGTATATTACTTGGCCACATGTGTCTTTTAAAGCACAATAGTTTGAACTGAACATTTTCAAGAGGTTACCAACGTATATAGTTTGATTATTAATGTCTTCACCACATTGTGTCTCACGAGTTAGACTGTTGTAGTTTAGAGTCACAAGTATAGGCCCCTGAGGCCTATCTGATTCATTTATCCAACATTTGGGGATGGGCTATTTCCCCCTGAGTGGACCTAATGCTGTTATCACAAAGTTTGGAAGGCAAGATATTCTCTGTTATTACCATAAAATAATAATTAGTGTGTGTATATATAAAATATTACATACAGTAGCAATTGCAATAATATTGCTATGTTTAGGTACCACCATACTCAAATATAATGTTGAAAGACCATTTTATCAATGAGAGTCACGAACAGAGATAGTTTAATACTTGTCCTATCATTTCTTGCATTTAACTTTATGCAAATTATTACCCAGGTATAAATATCATTGGTTGAATTTGACCTTTTTTGGGTATGATGAATCCTTGCGAACTCCAGACACAGAGGGAATGGGTGAACTATTTTTGAATGCTAAGCAATTGCCTACAGCGGGTATTTAGTTTTGAAATTTTTCGACATCACAATACAATTCTTAGTGTTCCATATTGTTGCCAGCTGACTCATGTTTGCCTGATCACACACGGAATAATGTAGCCTCATATTGACAATTTACTTCTAAAATTACGATACAGATTTACATATTCTCACCACCGAAAGAACCACGAACCATAGAAACATATAGAGAAGAGATCTTTCCAGTGTGTACCAATTAATGACAAAACTAACTACCGTATTTTCTTGAGTATAGTGCGCACCCATGTATAATGCGCACCCCCTCTAGCGGGTTCAATATTTTGGAAAAAAAGAAATTTGAATATTATGCGCAGAAAAAATTTACACCGTACCCTTTCAGGGAAGTCCGGCAAACGAACGGGTGCTGAGAAACTTCGTCAGTACAAATTCGAAATTTGAGATAAAAAATCACCAGTCATGTTTATTTACTGTTTATATAGTATTTATTGTTCTGCTAGGCATTGTTTTATATCTAGGGATTAAGATTACCTTGTGTATTTTCTCGTAAACTATGCCGGAAACAGCAATCAGCTGTACACACGTTTTCTTGGAATCGACCGGTGATTTGGTCAAGACACACCCAATGATATAACTTTATAGGATTTTTAATGCAAGGATCGGCAACAATTGTATCTGAAACTATTTTTTTTTTTTTATCAGGAATAATATATTCCATTATTTTCTTAATTACATGAGGGGTGGTCGGGTAGCCTAGTGGTTAAAGCGTTCGCTCGTCACGCCGAAGACCCGGGTTCGATTCCCGACATGGGCACAATGTGTGAAGCCCATTTCTGGTGTCCCCCGCCGTGATATTGCTGGAATATTGCTAAAAGCGGCGTAAAACCATACTCACTCACTCACTTAATTACATGCAGCCTTTACTTAACATATTTAAAATAATAATAACCCTAAGCGAAGCAGCTGATCGCTATTGCCGGGTATTATTTTTTACATGGAACCAGTCTGACCAGTCACCGTCAAGGCTCACGCGCACGTGATCGAGAGAATTTCATGTTGACATAGAATCGTCAAACAAAAACAAATATGACTTTTAACGAGTCAAAGTATGTCATTTATGATATATGTATCCATTCTCTGTCAACTAAAGTTCGTTTCAAGGCGTCAATAGCGGTATTCTGACCGTGGTTGCTGTTAATAACGGTGAGTTGTGCGATCTTCCGATCGCTTCACAAACGATTTCGCCGAAATTAATAAAAACAATATTATAAGAATTTTGAATAAAATTAATGAAATAAGTTACAAACATAAGTCCTGATATACAAAGAACACTTTTTATAGCCAGACAGTGTAATTACATGATTATTTTGCGTACTTCAGTATGGATTTGTTGACATGGTATTTCCGGTGTTTCGTGCTCACGGTAATGTCTTTGCATGGGGGAAAAAAACATCCAAACTCATAATTCAGGTATAATGCGCACCCCCTTCTACACAGCTGTGTTTTTTCGAAAAAAAGTGCGCACTATACTCAAGAAAATACGGTATCAGTCAAGTTTTACTTCAGAGTGTCTTTATTCTCATCACGATATGCTGCACATCCTGCACGAGATCTTGAATATGAGTAATACTTCATATATTAACCAGCATGTATGAGTGGTGAGTATTTTTATGAATAATCGATACGATTACCCAACAGGTGTCATTCATATGTGATAGATTTGGTTGATTGCCCTTCCTGAATTGTCTCGGTTATTTGAGACTGCTAAAGTATCGAAGTGACTATGTTGACTACATGTCCAAGTGAGCTGCAGTGCTGTGGCACTATTTTCATAAAGCCAGAATATGTTTTCAGGCACTGCTTTAAGATATATATATTTTTTTTTTTTTATATAGACCGACGTTGACTTCATGTATATATATGTATGTACATACACTTTCATAGCTGGAATATGGCTGAGTAAGATGTATTATATATTTATGTCAGAATATTATATATTGTTTTAACCTTATGTGAAGCAGTTACTTTTTCCCTATAGTATATATTACCACACTTGCTATAAATAATCTACGACTCACAACAGTGTTTCACAGTGCAACATCAGCATTCTAACTTGCCCATCAGTGGATTGGAGAAAGAAGTGCTTCCAATCAAATACTTTCATCTGTGGTGATGTCGTCTTCTTGATTCAATACTGCTGGCAGGACAATGACTGATTCTTAATTGTCATGGTAGAATATGTGCAAGATTTACCTCCCTTTTCCCCTACTTTCACCCTTTACAATTCTTTCTATATACTTGTTTAGGTTCTATTTTGCATTATGATGTGTCTTCTTGATATCACTTTCAATGTCTTGCAGTTGCTTTCAATCACAGAATAAATATTGTAAGTTGTACTCAGCCGGACGGATGTTTTTCATGTTTTAGAGTAGAGGTTCCATTGCTAAATATTCTCATTGCTATTGTCTTTTTTTATCACAATTTCGTCATCAAGAAATAAACATGTTTGTATATAAATACTATGTGTTTGGTGTTTAATAAACTTTATAGTGCTGCTAGGTGTAGACCTGTAGAAGTGGTACAAAAGCACAGCGTAAGGCCGACGTCTGGCGTGTGGTTATAGTGCAAATGGTTATAGATCTATAAAATTGGTACAAAAGCACAGCCTATGGCTGACGTCTGGTGTGTGGTTATAGTGCAGATGGTTGTAAAAGTGGTACAAAACACAGCGTATGGCCGACGTCTGGTGTGTGGTTATAGTGCAGATGGTTGTAGACCTGTAGAAGTGGTACAAAAGCACAGCGTATGGCCGACGTCTGGCGTGTTGTTATAGCACAGATGGTTGTAAACCTGTAGAAGTGATACAAAAGCACAGCGTATGGCCGACGTCTGGTGTGTGGTTATAGTGCAGATGGTTGTAGACCTGTAGAAGTGGTACAAAAGAACAGCGTATGGCCGACGTCTGGTGTGTGGTTATAGTGCAGATGGTTGTAGACCTGTAGAATTGGTACAAAAGCACAGCGTATGGCCGACGTCTGGTGTGTGGTTATAGTGCAGATGGTTGTAGAAGTGGTACAAAACCACAGCGTATGGCCGACGTCTGGTGTGTGGTTATAGTGCAGATGGTTGTGGACCTGTTGAAGTGGTACAAAAGCACAGCGTATGGCTGACGTCTGGCGTGTGGTTATAGTGCAGATGGTTGTATAACTGGTACAAAAGCACAGCGTATGGCCAACGTCTGGTGTGTGGTTATAGTTCAGATGGTTGTAAAAGTGGTACAAAAGCACAGCATATGGCCGACGTCTGGTGTGTGGTTATAGTGCAGATGGTTGTAGACCTGTAGAAGTGGTACAAAAGCACAGCATATGGCCGACGTCTGGTGTGTGGTTATAGTGCAGATGGTTGTAGACCTGTAGAATTGGTACAAAAGCACAGCGTATGGCCGACGTCTGGTGTGTGGTTATAGTGCAGATGGTTGTAGAAGTGGTACAAAACCACAGCGTATGGCCGACGTCTGGTGTGTGGTTATAGTGCAGATGGTTGTGGACCTGTTGAAGTGGTACAAAAGCACAGCGTATGGCCGACGTCTGGCGTGTGGTTATAGTGCAGATGGTTGTATAACTGGTACAAAAGCACAGCGTATGGCCAACGTCTGGTGTGTGGTTATAGTTCAGGTGGTTGTAAAAGTGGTACAAAAGCACAGCATATGGCCGACGTCTGGTGTGTGGTTATAGTGCAGATGGTTGTAGACCTGTAGAAGTGGTACAAAAGCACAGCATATGGCCGACGTCTGGTGTGTGGTTATAGTGCAGATGGTTGTAGACCTGTAGAATTGTACAAAAGCACAGCGTATGGCCGACGTCTGGTGTGTGGTTATAGTGCAGATGGTTGTAGAAGTGGTACAAAACCACAGTGTATGGCTGACGTCTGGTGTGTGGTTATAGTGCAGATGGTTGTGGACCTGTTGAAGTGGTACAAAAGCACAGCGTATGGCCGACGTCTGGCGTGTGGTTATAGTGCAGATGGTTGTATAACTGGTACAAAAGCACAGCGTATGGCCAACGTCTGGTGTGTGGTTATAGTTCAGATGGTTGTAAAAGTGGTACAAAAGCACAGCATATGGCCGACGTCTGGTGTGTGGTTATAGTGCAGATGGTTGTAGACCTGTAGAAGTGGTACAAAAGCACAGCGTATGGCCGACATCTGGTGTGTGGTTATAGTGCAGATGGTTGAAGAAGTGCTACAAAAGCACAGCGTATGGCCGACGTCTGGTGTGTGGTTATAGAGCAGATGGTTGTAGACCTGTAGAAGTGGTACAAAAGCACAGCGTATGGCCGACGTCTGGTGTGTTGTTATAGTGCAGATGGTTGTAAAAGTGGTACAAAAGCACAGCGTATGGCCGACGTCTTGTGTGTGGTTATAGTGCAGATGGTTGTAGACCTGTAGAAGTGGTACAAAAGCACAGCGTATGGCTGACGTCTGGTGTGTGGTTATAGTGCATATGGTTATAAAAGTGGTACAAAAGCACAGCGTATGGCCAACGTTTGGTGTGTGGTTATAGTGCAGATGGTTGAAATAGTGGTACAAAAGCACAGCGTATGGCCGACGTCTGGTGTGTGGTTATAATGCAGATGGTTGTAGACCTGTAGAAGTGGTACAAAAGCACGGCGTATGGCCGACGTCTTGTGTGTTGTTATAGTGCAGATGGTTGTAAAAGTGGTACAAAAGCACAGCGTATGGCCGACGTCTGGTGTGTGGTTATAGTGCAGATGGTTGTAGACCTGTAGAAGTGGTACAAAAGCACAGCGTATGGCCAACGTCTGGTGTGTGGTTATAGTGCAGATGGTTGTAAAAGTGGTACAAAAGCACAGCGTATGGCCGACGTCTGGTGTGTGGTTATAGTGCAGATGGTTGTAGAAGTGGTACAAAAGCACAGCGTATGGCCGACGTCTGGTGTGTGGTTATAGTGCAGATGGTTGTAGAAGTGGTACAAAAGCACAGCGTATGGCCGACGTCTGGTGTGTGGTTATAGTGCAGATGGTTGTAGACCTGTAGAAGTGGTACAAAAGCACAGCGTATGGCCGACGTCTGGTGTGTGGTTATAGTGCAGATGGTTGTAGAAGTGGTACAAAAGCACAGCGTATGGCCGACGTCTGGTGTGTGGTTATAGTGCAGATGGTTGTAGACCTGTAGAAGTGGTACAAAAGCACGGCGTATGGCCGACGTCTTGTGTGTTGTTATAGTGCAGATGGTTGTAAAAGTGGTACAAAAGCACAGCGTATGGCCGACGTCTGGTGTGTGGTTATAGTGCAGATGGTTGTAGAAGTGGTACAAAAGCACAGCGTATGGCCGACGTCTGGTGTGTGGTTATAGTGCAGATGGTTGTAGACCTGTAGAAGTGGTACAAAAGCACAGCGTATGGCCGACGTCTGGTGTGTGGTTATAGTGCAGATGGTTGTAGAAGTGGTACAAAAGCACAGCGTATGGCCGACGTCTGGTGTGTGGTTATAGTGCAGATGGTTGTAGACCTGTAGAAGTGGTACAAAAGCACGGCGTATGGCCGACGTCTGGTGTGTGGTTATAGTGCAGATGGTTGCAAAAGTGGTACAAAAGCACAGCGTATGGCCAACGTTTGGTGTGTGGTTATAGTGCAGATGGTTGAAATAGTGGTACAAAAGCACAGCGTATGGCCGACGTCTGGTTTGTGGTTATAGTGCAGATGGTTGTAGAAGTGGTACAAAATCACAGCGTATGGCCAACGTCTGGTGTGTGGTTATAGTGCAGATGGTTGTAGACCTGTAGAATTGGTACAAAAGCACAGCGTATGGCCGACGTCTGGTGTGTGGTTATAGTGCAGATGGTTGTAGAAGTGGGACAAAATCACAGCGTATGGCCGACGTCTGGTGTGTTGTTATAGTGCAGATGGTTGTAGACCTGTAGAAGTGGTACAAAAGCACAGCGTATGGCCAACGTCTTGTGTGTTGTTATAGTGCAGATGGTTGTAGAAGTGGTACAAAAGCACAGTGTATGGCCGACGTCTTGTGTGTTGTTATAGTGCAGATGGTTGTAAAAGTGGTACAAAAGCACAGTGTATGGCCGACGTCTGGTGTGTTGTTATAGTGCAGATGGTTGTAGAAGTGGTACAAAAGCACAGTGTATGGCCGACGTCTGGCGTGTGGTTATAGTGCAGATGGTTGTAAACCTGTAGAAGTGATACAAAAGCACAGCGTATGGCCGACGTCTGGCGTGTGGTTATAGTGCCGATGGTTGTAGACCTGTAGAAGTGATACAAAAGCACAGCGTATGGCCGACGTCTGGCGTGTGGTTATAGTGCCGATGGTTGTAGACCTGTAGAAGTGATACAAAAGCACAGCGTATGGCCGACGTCTGGCGTGTGGTTATAGTGCAGATGGTTGTAGACATTCAGAGCTCGCACAAAGGCACAGGTTTTATCAGAACAAAATATTTTCTTCCCAACAGTATCCAACAAACTATTTACTGACTATCAACACACGATTTTTTACGTTTGTGTATTTTCCACTAAAGAAACTATTAATTTGATTCACCTCTGCCAACAAGCTATCATTTGGGGCATATTTCACCCCTCAGACTTTGTTCAGAGTAAGTGCAACTGTATACTCGCACACCTACCTTCTTTGACTCAAAGTCAAAATAACACTAACACACACACACACAATTTATATATATATATATATATATATATATATATATATATATATATATATACAGCAAAAGTTCCTGTGACATTGAATAAGATTTAATGCAAAGTTATGTTTTTTTGACCAAATCTGAAACAATTTCCCATACTGACTTCAGAAAATGAGAAAATGAGCATGAAAACATGAACATGCATTCGTCTGTTGCCAACGTTGCCATAAACACGAAATGGTGTTTCTGTGGACGTTAAATTGTCTTGCAACATCACGTTGACTCGATCCTGCTTCAAGCATACCAATGGCTCGCAGATCCTCATTTACGGACAGGCGTGGCATTTCGTAATGTTGAATAATTTCGTAGTTTTGTTGTTTTTATGAGCGGTTGTTGTCAGCACGATGCTAAACAATGCATATGGAATCCCGTTAACGCACATGTTTTTATACCCATTCTTGCATAAAAGTCAACCTTTGCATGCATGCTTTTCTGTAGCAGTTGCGTTTTTGTGCCTTGATTCCATACATGTACTACAATATTGAAAACCAAACTTTACTAGTTTGAAAAATACACCAAAATATTGGTGTCACAGGAATTTTTGTTGTTGGGCGCGCACGCGCGCACGCACGCACGCACACACGCACACGCACACCATTGTCTGGTTTGCTGACGTTGGTGCCAACAAGACAATAATGTGATGCTGGAAACCACCAACAGTTACTCAAGTCAGGTACATATAACAACAAACCAACAGCACCAACAACGTTTATTTATTGTAAAATAAAAAAAAATACTAAGAAGAAACAGGTCCAGTGTGACATTACTGAACAACACGGCTTTGCAAGTGATAGTAAACTTTCACCCATGCACCGATCGTCTGTATTATTCAGACATTTGCGTGTACAGATACATTCGATGAAACACCAAGAGGTATCATTTTAATACAACACCCCCCATGAACTTCAATATTCCCTGCAAAGTCAACCCATGAGAAATGCATATTTCTTCGACGAAATTAATAGTGAATTTGTAACAATGGTAACACGCTCGTGAATTGCGTACATGATCAGTTGAATAACCTGAATATGTTTTCATGAGTCAACATATAAAACAAATCATAAAAAACATATTCACTGAATAAAGCATCGAACTTATCACAGAACTGTTTTGAAACTGTACCGATATAACCAGCACTCATGGCAGGTACATATTGCCGGCATGACTGGGGCGGGCCCTCGCGTCTGCTTCTCCTGCCGCTACTTGTAAGCAAATAAATCTTTAACAAAACTTGAATACGAGGAAATGAAAAGTGTGTACTTTAGGCAGTTACATATGTTACAACAAAAACATCCAGGACAGACGACATCATTCGCCTTGATGTAAGAACATATGCGGTATTGCTGTTGTGCGCCTTCAACATGAGTAAACACTTGTAGAAGAAAGAATGTGTCTATCACAGTAGTTGTCATGCATTGCTGTACGTCTGCTGCTATAGGAGTGAAGCTGGAGTAAATGGAACTCAAAAGCGGAAGAAAAAGTGGATCCGGATATTCCACATCGTTTTGTATGGTGGCCACAGGCTTGCGCACTTGGCTTCTGACACGAGCTGTTGTGGTCTGGAGACACGCAGACACCTGCTGCAACAAAAACACGGCGGTATTCAGGCTGATTTCATGATTATTTACCGATCTATTCATATCATTCTTTTCACCATATTGGTAGTTGTTTTCATTACATCATGACAAGAATTAATGATATGCTATCTAGGTGCTAATATCGTTTACTTACAGTAGTAACAGCTATCGTACATAGAATTACTGATGTACTCTCCATGAGGTAGGGGATCATGGAATATAGACGTTCAGATCAGTCGTCAAAAGAAATGACAGCTCGAGATAGAATTTGGTTCTGAAACCGTACTAACGCACCAACACCGTGCATGTTGGTTGGTTGGTTTGTTGCTTAACGCCGCACTCAGCAATATTCCAGCTTTATGACGGCGGTCTGTAAATAATCGAGTCTGGACCACACAATCCAGTGATTAGTATTATGAGCATCGATCTACGCAATTGGGATACGATACCGTGCATGTGGGATGGGGGTCATTCTTGATTTTGATACTTCAGTGAAAGTTCGTCCAACTCCGCGAGATGTAGCCAATATGTTCTATGTTTCTCAGTTTTAGATCATGTTTCCTCACACACACAGTTTTAATGATCGGCCCCACACAGGCGCCCTAGGTCAACAGCAATAGTCTAAGATCGATTTCGCAGAAACCAGGCTGGAATAAATCCAACCCAAACAACCAATCAAAGCGCTGTTCATTTGTTTAGGTTACAGACCAAACGATTAGATCGTCAGCATGGAACTGATAGGCAAGGTCGGCGACCAAGTGTTGTACTATCGACAACAAATCGACACATCGTTGTGAGACGCCAATAGTGTTTATATAGGAATGACATCAACCAAGTCAACGAGTCTGACCACCCGATCCCGACAGTCGCCCCTTTCGACAAGCATGGGTTGCTGAAGACCAATTCTAACCCGGATCTTCTCAGGTTCACTGAACTACTACCGCGGGTATTCTCCCAAAACGCCTACATGCCAAAAGGCCTACATGCCAAAACACCTACAGGTATAACAACAAAGTTCACAGTTGAATTCACACCTAATCCCCTGCCTGTTACCTTGGTCATTTTAACGGAATAACCCCAAGGACACTTATATACATTTTATTTTACTAATCAGTCAGATGATAATCACAATAAGTCACTAGCCAGGTTTCAAAAGATGACCAACAACATCCAAGTGTTCTCCTGGGTCAAACCTTCTTTTAAGCGGCACAAGCGATCCTCTACCTCTCGGTAGACTCGTTTTCTACACCTGAGGGCAGCACCAAATTCGACCTGCGAAATCTTGGCCCGATCTTCATGTTCTACCTTCTTGATGACTTCACTGAAGCAGTAGATGTTGGGATGTCGATGAAGTAGTCCACGGTTCAGTCTGCTGTGGAATCGTTCCAGACTTTTTGTTTGTTCTCGGACCTATCGCTGAGTGATGGTTCCACAATGGCAGCGGGAATCGCGCTCCTTCGTCAACCAAGTCCTAATACAAGTCTGTCTGTCTACGTTCTTGGTGTGACGATATCCATTAAAGAAAAGTTGCTGTGCAGAGTCGCGTCCCTTGGGCGCGCCAGAAACCTATGTTTGTGGGTTCGAATCCCGGTTCGCCCCGATTATGTTTCTAGGTTTGTCAGCACCATACCCGTGCTCGTGGGTTTCATCGAAGTGGTAAACGTCTGAGACCTGCAACACTTCGGACTTTCCTCCCACATTAAGCTGACACGCCGTGATATAACTTGAATACTGTTAAAAGCGGCGTTAAAAACAACTCACTCACTCAATATTTCGGTTCGTGTTATCATTGATTCAGTCATGATATAAGACTTTCTGTTCATGATATCCCACATTGCTTTTGCATTACTTATATCAATAAATACATCCGTTGAAACTGATTGATATGAACTACTCCCGTTTTACCATGATTGTGAATATATGGACATAATTAGACAGGTATATATGGTTGTTGACAGATACAACTTGAATGTGACTATCTTGTCAACATTAGGTATGTGACAATTTGTTTATTGATATCAGAAACTCAATTACTGATATCAGTATTTCATTTACTGATAAGATCAACTGATTTGATGACAGTAATGGATATCTAGGATATCAGTATTCATTGTGTATGGAAATAGAACAGTTTTTTACTGATATAATTAATTCGCTGCAATACAGTACTAATTCATTTCATGACATCTTTAATTTCTTTGACCTCATTAATTATTTCCCCGGCATCAGTATACGATTAATGATATTCAAAACATTTTAATTATATCACAGAGAATGCTGATCAGGAAAAGAAAAAATACCAGTAATAAATGTGAAAATGGCACCACCCGCCCCCACATAGGTACCGTGGCGGCATATTTCTAAAACAAGCGAAACTTACACAAGGTCCAACCCTGTATAAGCAAACCTACCTGGGGTTTCGTTGTTTGGACAGAAATCGTCTGATAATGTCAATAGTCGGGTTCTCAATCGCTGCGTCGTGCACTCTGTAATCCAGGGCGGACCTTGTAAAGGGAGGTAGAGCGTCCCGCCCTACAGAGCCACTATCGCGTGTCTGCCAGTCCGTGCTGTGCTGCAGCCGGTGTTTCAGTAAAGGTGGCGCTGTTGCTAATTGTACGGTTGTGCTTGAAGTCAGGCTGGGTGGAGGACAGCCACTTGTTCCATTCACGACGTTGGCGTGGGCAGATGCTGCAACATTCCCCCGAGATGTTCTTATGGAACCATGTACGTGTATAGTTTATATGTTTAAAAAGTTCTGCTGATGTTAAAGGCCTGCACAGAACACTTCCATGTGACGTAGTGCGTCTTAGAAGAAAGCTATGACACATGGAACACTCCCTTACACCACTGTGACCCCTGGAGAAGATACCGGGTACAGTTTCAAACGGTTGAAAGCGTGCATAATATATGCTTAATTTCAGGCTGAGTCTAGTTATACTGCCTGGAAAACCATTTATATCTTCATATGACCAGGTAAGGTACACTTAAGGTAAGGTAAATCATAATTTGCAATTAAGGTTGACGGAATAACAGTTATTTATTACCTTCATATCATCACTACAGTGTTCTGTCCCTTAGCAGAACCTGTTTGAGAAGATTTGCTCTGGTGGTCAGTGGAGCTGTTGTGTTGGCATGTGCTCCCTTGTGTTCAGTGTATCTTGACGCAACCGACTGCCTCGCTGCAACGTGCTCGCCTTCCATCACGATGTAGATGAGCACGCACTCACACGTCATCATGACGAGAAGGAACACTGCTAGACGCCATTGATCACGACGACAGTGGGACATCCTGTAACATCAAGGCACGCCAATCTTGTCACGTCCATAATACACACACAAGTACACACTGCAAAGCAAATCTTACATTTCGTGACAATAAAACAATACATACATACACCAGTACAGACTGTTATGATCTCTACTGTCATGGTTGATAAATGATTTGTAATGACAAAATAGATTGACTAAAAGAGTAATAGTGTACCAGAAAAAAACACTTTTATTGTACTGTATATGAACATATTTGATACTGTTCTCTGTATGCATAGATTTAATACAGTAACTCATATGGAAATATTTGATACTGTACTGTGTAGGAATTGCTCTCCTACATGTTTCAGTTTTATCTTCTGTGTAGTGTTTCAACTCGAGGCTCAAACATCAGACCAGACATTCGCCATTGCCGAACACATCCAGAACCAAGACCATTCCATCCTATATGGGAAGCTACCCGTCCAGTCCACCACCACCAGCTGGTGTCAAAGGAATCTACAAGAGGCTAATTACCCATTGCCTACTACCAATCAGTGCTTAATGACCCCTGTCTTCCATTTATCCATTGTTTATCACCATTCAGTGCTGCTTTAACTCTAGTTTTCATTTGTCCATTGCTAATCACCAATCATCACCAGTTAAACGTTGCCTCCCTTGTTCACTTTCCGCCTTTGCTCTTATTACTTTTGTGGTTTTACATGTACATATATACTGAACCGCAAAAGAAATGTCACCACTAGTAACATTGCATGAAAAGTTGTCATTTAAATATCTGGGTGATTTTTGTCAAAGTTTCTAAAATTTAACATTACCTTGTCCGGTAAAATGAAATTTGATGATAAAAAAACCAAGCAGATGACAATAAAACCGATCGCCCAAACGCATCACGGCAACGGCCATGGTAACCCGATGCACGTGAGTTCCGTGCAAATTGAAATGCACATGCGTTCCCCAATTTCTTGCCCTATAAAAATCCACCCAGATCGGATAACATTCATTCGTTATTGAATTGCTACATGCGAAGATTGACAAGAAATCAGTGACGCCAAGCCCTTGGGCGATTTCAAGCTGGACAAACCGCCCGGCAAGTAGCAAATGCATTTCACGTTCATGTAAGGACCATATACAGGCTCCAGCAACGGTACAAGACCACCAACACTACAGATGACCGACCACGTAGTGGAAGACTAAGGGTCACTAGCCGACGTCAGGATCGTCAGATTGTGCAACAGTATCTTCAAGATCGCTTTGTTACTGCTGCGGAAACTGCTCGACAGAGCATGGGGACACACAAGCGACACATTAGTGCGGATACCATGCGTCCATGTTTGACGAGCAGACACATCCACTGTCACAGGACACACCGAAGACCCATTCTGACACCACGTCATCCCCGGGACCGTCTCCAGTGGGCAACACAGCACCAGCATTGGCTCCAACAGCAGTGGAGAAGAATCCTCTTCTCAGACGAGAGCCGTTACTGTATCTCAACAGCAGATGGCAGAGTCTGATTCATTTGGGAACGTTATTCGGATGCTTGTGTTGTTGAGAGAGACTCGTGGGGTGGTTCGAGCATCACGGTGTGGGGGTGGAATTGGTTTTGCACAGACGGTCGGCCCTGTGATCTTCCAGAACATCGGTCCAGGGAGAGGCAATGGTGTCACAGCAGCTCGGTACATTGATCAAGTCTTGAGACCACAGGCCATACCTCATTTGGCACGTCGCCGCAACCACGAGTTTCAGCATAACGCCCGTACCCACACTGCGAGAGCAACAAGAGACTACTTCCAGCAGGATGGCATCAGAACCATGCAGTGGCCTGCCCCAGTCCCGATTTAAATCCCATTTGGACGGGATTCCTAGACGGCTGAATGATGTCCGACCAAAGCCGACAACTTCAGCTGAACTGCGTCAGACGTTCCTCTGAGTGTGGGCTCAAGTGCCTATGGCCTTCATCAACCGCCTCATCCATTCCATGTATCGACGATGCCTGGCAGTCATCAATGCATATGGCGGACACGAGATACTGACTTGTGATGCCATTTTCTCAGAGACTAGTGTTGTGTTTCACTTTAAGAACATTTGACACTTTAATTGATGATCAGTTTTGCCAAGTTTCATCTTTTTAATGTCTCAAAGTATGTTTACAGTGTTTGGACAAATAAGGTTTCTCATACATCTATCCATGGTGACGTTTCTTTTGCGGTTCAGTATATATGCTGTCTGCATCCTTGCATTCATTCACCTGATGAAGGAGTAAGCATATACTCCGAAACGTTGTGTGTGTACCTCATAATAAGGGGCGGTCGTGTAGCCTAATGGTTAAAGCGTTCGTCACGCCGAAGACCCGGGAACGATTCCCGACATGGGTATAATGTGTGAAGCCCATTTCTGGTGTCCCCTGTCGTGATATTCCTGGAATATTGATAAATATAAAACCAAACTCACTCACTGACTCCTCATAATAAAGAAGATGACATCTAAAAAGACTCTTATGTGTAACACATCTAAATGTCATTCAATGGCTGTAGATCATGTGTTAGAATAGGTCTTCAGCAACCCATGCTTGTCGTAAGAGGCGACTAACGGGGTCGGGCGGTCAGGCTCGCTGACTTAATTGATGCATGTCAGCGTATCAAGTTGCGTGGATCGACGCTCACGATGTCAATCACTGGATTGTCTGGTCCAGACGCGATTATTTACAGATCCCTGTCACACAGCTGGAATATTGCTTAGACAACAAACAAACAACCTGTGGTGACTTAGCTACGTGTTTTCTGGCTTACAACAACAGTTTTGTAATATTCCTTATTAAACAGTTGTTTTCAAGTGAGGATCAGATTTACAAAATGTAGGCGATTTCATACTTGCATCATATCGCGTTAAGATTTTGAATGTAAAAACACACGAAGAACTGCAGCGTCATTTACCGACTTAGGATCGCATCCACTAAGTGTTTTGTTCCCTGTCACAACATGGAGACACCCAATACACTTCTTCAGTGAATGAACCATGTACGTCTTTGACTTACTCCTGTAGTTCATATCGCGACGATGACAGTTCAAACATGTAGACACAGCTCAGTATTCCTCAATACAGGCATCGAGTCAGTATCTGCGTGTAATATTAACATACAACTCAGTCTCTAAGCTCTCTATCTGTAGTTTATGTACTTCCTATGTCGTTTCGGTTCATTTAGTTCACATGTAATGTTGGTTTGTTGTTTAACGCCGCACTCAGCAATATTCGAGCTGTACGACGGCGGTCTGTAGATAATCGAGACTGGACCAGACAACCCAGTGATTTACATTATGAGCATCTGTCTACGCAATTGGAATACGATGACATGCATCAACCAAGTCAGCGAGCCTGACTACCCGATCCCATTAGTCGTCTCTGACGGCAAGCACGGCTTACTGAAGACCAGTTCTAGCCCAGATCTTCACGGGTCTCACATGTCACTGTACTCGGAGCAATCCGGTCGATAACCCCTTAAATGAATAACCCATTACACCCCAGAGAATTACTACACTTCCCTCCTCGTTCTCAACACGCCGATATCAATGACGCTGCTCTGTAGACTCTCTGTGGCAACAAGAAGTATACGTCTCAATCAACACATAGGATACAATAAGCAGAAGCAAGATAACACCCATCTAGACGGCAGCGACACAGGCCGGCCAGTCAACTACCGCTGGACACAGTTCGATAAGATAACATACCAGTCTCGAAGATGGCGGCTGACGCTTGGTTGTGTGGGACACCCTGTCTCAGTCTGGCGGAGAAGTGTTCCCTTCCCGCCTGGAGGAAGACGTGGCGGCCGGTGTGATGCACATTGATCCGCTTATCGATCACTGCAGGCTGGGCACGTTCTTCGCGTGCAGATACAGCGAGGCGTGCAGAAGGAGAGTTAACGAAATTCTCATCACGCCAATGCTTGCTATGCTGAGCTGACACAGCTGTTGGAAATGTAGCGTGGTATTGTGTCACATTAACGACGTGTATATTGGGGGACATGTATATAACCACTTGTGCGGCGAATCTACGTGGCTAGTAATGTATTTAAGATACCTTCATTAATTCAGACAACATGGCGTTCTTGCCGTTACAACAGACGGAAACGGTCTCTGACGGATGCAACCTGTCTGATTTGGTGTAACGTCGACGCAGCAGAGTGTACTCTCACTGTCGACCGCAGGCCATGACTGTGTGGGTCGCTGTAGGGGTCCGTATTCATACTTACATGATACCTGCCATCGATGAATTTGTTTTCTCACAATTTTTTCTTGTGATGTCATCATATTGGTCTGTGTGTGTGTGTGTGTGTGTGTGTGTGTGTGAGAGAGAGAGAGAGAGAGAGACCTTCATAAAACTCTGCACGAGGCAAAGTTGTGGTAGGTGCGCACGTGCAACTGTTGCGCGGAGCAAAGGGCCACAGGTTGCGTATTAAGCGTGAATCCAATAACTGTTGTAATAGTTATGTCAGAAAGACGACGAAAGCATGTGTTCGTGAACATAACACGAGAACGCGAACTGCCCGAATGCATTAACTTCACGAATACAAGATTTCGAGGTCTTCCTCGTGCCATCCAGACGTCAGTGAAGTATTTATGTTAAACCACACTGTTTGGGTATACAAAGACAAACATACACGTAGTGAAGATGATTGTAACTGATCACAGAACTCGACCAGTCAACCCACCGATAACGATTCACACTACGTCCAGCTCTTACCAAAGCGTTTATTCATTTTGTAAATTTTGCTCATTGTTTAATTAAGAGTATTTATAAATATTTAAACTTTACTCTAACGCGTGCGGTTTCCAAACACCTTAACTGGAAATACAGCAGGTTCATCATCTTAATGACATCATCATTACGTCATAGGGTAATTACCCGAGACCCTTGAACAAAATCGGTGTCGTCAGGATGCCGCGAGTGGGTGAATGCTTAATGTTCTGTCCTCACCAGGGCAGTGTTCTGTGCAGTACAGCGACGAGATGTTTCTCCCCACCAGGGCAGTGTTCTGTACAGTGTAAGGTCGACATGTTTCTCCTCACCAGGGCAATGTTCTGTACAGTGTAAGGTCGACATGTTTCTCCTCACCAGGGCAGTGTTCTGTACAGTGTAAGGACGACATGTGTCTCCCCACCAGGGCAGTGTTCTCTACAGTGTTAGGACGACATGTTTCTCCTCACCAGGGCAGTGTTCAGTACAGTGTTAGGACGACATGTTTCTTCCTACCGAGGCAGTGTTCACTACAGTGTAAGGTCGACATGTTTCTCCCCACCAGGGCAGTGTTCTGTACAGTGTTAGGACGACATGTTCCTCTTCACCAGGGCAGTGTTCTGTACAGTGTTAGGACGACATGTTTCTCCTCACCAGGGCAGAGTTCACTACAGTGTTAGGACGACATGTTTCTCCCCACCAGGGCAGTGTTCACTACAGTGTAAGGTCGACATGTTTCTCCCCACCAGGGCAGTGTTCTGTACAGTGTTAGGACGACATGTTCCTCCTCACCAGGGCAGTGTTCTGTACAGTGTAAGGTCGACATGTTTCTCCCCACCAGGGCAGTGTTCAGTACAGTGTTAGGACGTCATGTTTCTTCCTACCGAGGTAGTGTTCTGTACAGTGTAAGGACGACATGTTTTCCCTCACCAGGGCAGTGTTCTGTACAGTGTTAGGACGACATGTTTCTCCGCACCAGGGCAGTGTTCTGTACAGTGTAAGGTCGACATGTTTCTCCCCACCAGGGCACTGTTCTGTACAGTATAGCGACGAGATGTTCCTCCCCACCAGGGCACTGTTCTGTACAGTACAGAGACGAGATGTTTCTCCCCACCAGGGGAGTGTTCAGTACGGTATAAGGACGAGATGTTTCTCCCCACCAGGGCAGTGTTCACTACAGTGTTAGGACGACATGTTTCTCCCCACCAGGGCAGTGTTCTGTACAGTGTTAGTAAGGCATGTTCCTCCTCACCAGGGCAATGTTCTGCATAGTACAGTGACGAGATGTTTCTCCCCATCAGGGGAGTGTTCCGTACGGTGTAAGGACGACATGTTTCTCCCCATCAGGGCAGTGTTCTGTACAGTGTTCGGACAACATGTTTCTCCCCACCAGGGCAATGTTCACTACAGTGTTAGGATGACATGTTTCTCCTCACCAGGGCAGTGTTCACTACAGTGTAAGGACGACATGTTTCTTCCCACCAGGGCAGTGTTCTGTACAGTGTTAGGACGACATGTTTCTCCCCACCAGGGCAGTGTTCACTACAGTGTTAGGACGACATGTTTCTCCCCACCAGGGCAGTGTTCTGTACAGTGTTAGGACAACATGTTTCTCCCCACCAGGGCAGTGTTCACTACAGTGTTATGACAACATATTTCTCCCCACCAGGGCAGTGTTCTGTACAGTGTTAGGACGACATGTTTCTCCCCACCAGGGCAGTGTTCACTACAGTGTTATGACAACATATTTCTCCCCACCAGGGCAGTGTTCTGTACAGTGTTAGGACGACATGTTTCTCCCCACCAGGGCAGTGTTCACTACAGTGTTATGACAACATGTTTCTCCCCACCAGGGCAGTGTTCACTACAGTGTTAGGACGACATGTTTCTCCTCACCAGGGCAGTGTTCACTACAGTGTAAGGACGACATGTTTCTCCCCACCAGGGCACTGTTCTGTACAGTGTGAGGACAACATGTTTCTCCCAACCAGGGCAGTGTTCACTACAGTGTTAGGACGACATGTTTCTCCTCACCAGGGCAGTGTTCACTACAGTGTAAGGACGACATGTTTCTCCCCACCAGGGCACTGTTCTGTACAGTGTGAGGACAACATGTTTCTCCCAACCAGGGCAGTGTTCACTACAGTGTTAGGACGACATGTTTCTCCTCACCAGGGCAGTGTTCACTACAGTGTAAGGACGACATGTTTCTCCCCACCAGGGCAGTGTTCACTACAGTGTAAGGACGACATGTTTCTCCCCACCAGGGCAGTGTTCTGTACAGTGTTAGGACGACATGTTTCTACCCACCAGGGCAGTGGTCACTACAGTGTTAGGACGACATGTTTCTCCCCACCAGGGCAGTGTTCACTACAGTGTTAGGACGACATGTTTCTCCCCACCAGGGCAGTTTTACTCTGTACAGTGTTAGGACGACATGTTTCTCCTCACCAGGGCAGTGTTCACTACAGTGTAAGGACGACATGTTTCTCCCCACCAGGGCAGTGTTCTGTACAGTGTGAGGACAACATGTTTCTCCCCACCAGGGCAGTGTTCACTACAGTGTTAGGACGACATGTTTCTCCCCACCAGGGCACTGTTCTGTACATTGTGAGGACGACATGTTTCTCCTCACCAGGGCAGTGTTCACTACAGTGTAAGGATGACATGTTTCTCCCCACGAGGGCAGTGTTCTGTACAGTGTAAGGACGACATGTTTCTCCTCACCAGGGCAGTGTTCACTACAGTGTTATGACGACATGTTTCTCCCCACCAGGGCAGTGTTCAGTACAGTGTTATGACAACATGTTTCTCCCCACCAGGGCAGTGTTCTGTACAGTGTTAGGACGACATGTTTCTCCTCACCAGGGCAGTGTTCTGTACAGTGTTAGGACGACATGTTTCTCCTCACCAGGGCAGTGTTCACTACAGTGTAAGGACGACATGTTTCTCCCAACCAGGGCAGTGTTCTGTACAGTGTTAGGACGACATGTTTCTCCTCACCAGGGCAGTGTTCACTACAGTGTTATGACAACATGTTTCTCCCCACCAGGGCAGTGTTCTGTACAGTGTAAGGACGACATGTTTCTCCCCACCAGGGCAGTGTTCTGTACAGTATGAGGACGACATGTTTCTCCTCACCAGGGCAGTGTTCTCTACAGTGTTAGGACGACATGTTTCTCCTCACCAGGGCAGTGTTCACTACAGTGTAAGGACGACATGTTTCTCCCCACCAGGGCAGTGTTCTGTACAGTGTGAGGACGACATGTTTCTCCCCACCAGGGCAGTGTTCTGTACAGTGTGAGGACGACATGTTTCTCCCCACCAGGGCAGTGTTCTGTACAGTGTGAGGACGACATGTTTCTCCTCACCAGGGCAGTGTTCTCTACAGTGTTAGGACGACATGTTTCTCCTCACCAGGGCAGTGTTCACTACAGTGTGAGGACAACATGTTTCTCCCCACCAGGGCAGTGTTCACTACAGTGTGAGGACAACATGTTTCTCCCCACCAGGGCAGTGTTCTGTACAGTGTAAGGACGACATGTTTCTCCCCACCAGGGCAGTGTTCTGTACAGTGTGAGGACGACATGTTTCTCCCCACCAGGGCAGTGTTCTGTACAGTGTGAGGACGACATGTTTCTCCTCACCAGGGCAGTGTTCTCTACAGTGTTAGGACGACATGTTTCTCCTCACCAGGGCAGTGTTCACTACAGTGTGAGGACAACATGTTTCTCCCCACCAGGGCAGTGTTCACTACAGTGTTAGGACGACATGTTTCTCCTCACCAGAGCAGTGTTCAGTACAGTGTAAGGATGACATGTTTCTCCTCACCAGGGCAGTGTTCACTACAGTGTTTTGACAACATGTTTCTCCCCACCAGGGCACTCTTCTGTACAGTATAAGGACGACATGTTTCTCCCCACCAGGGCAGTGTTCACTACAGTGTTATGACGACATGTTTCTCCCCACCAGGGCAGTGTTCACTACAGTGTTATGACAACATGTTTCTCCCCACCAGGGCAGTGTTCTGTACAGTGTTAGGACGACATGTTTCTCCTCACCAGGGCAGTGTTCTGTACAGTGTTAGGACGACATGTTTCTCCTCACCAGGGCAGTGTTCTGTACAGTGTTAGGACGACATGTTTCTCCTCACCAGGGCAGTGTTCTCTACAGTGTTAGGACGACATGTTTCTCCCCACCAGGGCAGTGTTCTCTACAGTGTAAGGACGACATGTTTCTCCCCACCAGGGCAGTGTTCACTACAGTGTAAGGACGACATGTTCTCCCCACCAG